GGCAGTCTGTTTTAAATATCTGATCTATACTATTTACATGTTGGTTCACCCTGCATGTCAAAACACTGGTTTGGTTTAAATGATTGTATGTTTAGTATAGTTGTCCAGCTCTGTCCCAGTTTGAAGCCATTGCAGGTCTCTTTATAAAGAGCTTCATACATCTTCTAAAGAATGTATGAAGCTAAAGAAAAAAAAAACAAAAACACACAGCATGATGATGCCAGCACCAGGAGCCAGTTTGGTGACAGAGTTCAGTTCAGGATGATGGGTCACTGGCACCTTCTTCTACTTGTTTGCTGCGTCCCTTCAATGTGATAAAGTGAACCATTCAGCCTCTCTCCCTATGGAGAAAGTCTGCTTTGTGCTCTGCAGGAATGATCACTATGTTCTATTCAATTCCGTTTATTTATATAGCGCCAAATTCACAACACAAGTCATCTCAAGGCACTTTACAGTTCAAATGTTGGGAACTTTCAAAGCACTCTTTATGTTGTACTTCATTTTTTTTCAACAGCTATGTAAGCGTTCCCCCAATAATACATCTTTCAGCAATAAATGACTTTTCCAGCAGTGATAATATCAGTTTCCACATTAACTGTGTGTAAAATGAAGCACCAAATTAGCCCTCAATAAACAGCACTAACTTCAGATATATTTAATATAACAGGAACTAATTAATCCTTACCTGCTTTATAAGATCAACAAATATGTCCAAATGTAGAGCTGTTGCTAAACTTAAACCACCGTGTCTGTCATTGAGACAGAAACCAGGCAGGTCGTTATGTTTAGCTAACTAATAAACGATCTATACACGGAGACTCTCACTCTGCAAGATTTAACGAATCTCAAACAGAGACTGAAAAGGATGAATTTTGTCCCCTTACATTGGTTTAAAAAAACACATTTAGTATGATGTTTTTGCTCTAAAACCAGATTATTGAATGATAAGGACCGAGACTATGAGTATTTACCAACTGGATTGGTAAACACTGGATTTCTTTCTACGAAGTAATGAGTGTTTAAAATATGCGATCTTTCCCAACAATTTTCTTCTTTACTATTTATTTGTGGTGAGTACGTATAAAAAGCTGCATCTATCCCCACCTAGCGACGGGTTATGTTACTCCATGTAATAAAGTATCTGGTGTAAGTATTCTTATATTGCAATCACTAAACCTTATTCAGCGGTTCGTATTATCTATTGTATGTAAATATAATTTTATAATCATATGTAGCATAGTATTATAAAAAACAAACAAACAATAAATCAAATAATATGCCTTTTGCAGTATACAATATGAGCACAAGGGGGCGGAATAACGTCAGAAAAACCACATAGAGAAGAAAATATCGAGCGTTTAAATGCTCTTTGTTTTGTGGCTACCTCGTTTGCTATTTTTTCATTTATGAGAACATGTATGACAGGTACGTTTCTTCACTCCAGAGCGTATTTGGTCCGTTGATGAACAGATCGATCATACATTTCAGGACATCTATAAATAATTATTTCTTTCTAGCTGTTAGCCTGATGCAGCTTTAGCTACCTTCTTCCTCCAGCAACGATGATTCCTCTTTGTGTTTTAACCGAATGTGTTATTTTTCTAATCTAATGTGTAATCAGTGATTTTTAGCAGTAGTGTATGTTACATTAATAAGTCAACAGTTAATATGGAGGAAAAGCCGTTTACAGCACTGACGGTTCCCACGGATTATTTCCAGCAGTGGTGAGTTGATGTGTGACTGGAGGACTTCATCTCATCTCCATTATCATGCATGATGGAGGCTGATCAGACTTTACATCCACTCTCCTTATTGCTCTGCATACCTGGACTTGATCAAAATGATAGATTTAGAAATGTCTTGTTAAAATGTGGTTTTTAGATGTGTGTTTTGTGACTGTGTGCATCAGGGACATTCAAAGACGACAAAATGAATTTTAAAGTGGCATGTTTACAAGAATAAACGCGCAAATTTTATAACAGGGGTGGAAAG